ATTTTAGTAAACCGTGATATATTTACACATTTCACCACAATAATGAAATGAATTTCATTACTGCGTGGGTAGAGGGTTGTAAGAGACCTTTCGGACCTCTAAGGAAGTACCTAACTTAACCGCTTAACCGCTTATGTAACCATCATTTTTCGGTAATGTAAATATTTTAATGTAATCTGAATAAAATCCCTCTCTTAAGTACATCCCCCCAACCCGGGTAAGTACCTAAATTGTTCGTACCCCATTTACCATTCTACTTATAGTTTTCCCGTGCGCTCCCGCAACACATTTGGCAAACAAATTCTTGAAACTTGCAAATTTTTACATTAAAATAGAGTGGGATATAAACACTTCTGAGAAAAAAGTTTGAAATTTTGATGTTCTAAAAAATTTTAAGCTTAGGGTTATATGGTATTTGTTAGGGCATGAACTGTGTTTTAATTGAAAAATCTTAATCATTAATAAGTAAGCATAAGTGGCAAAAAACATAATTAAATGTTCATGTTTTATTCAAGGACTTATTTATGTAAGTTAACAAGAAGATTAACTACATCAATAATTATGTTCGCTCAAGTACCTGCAACGAGGTACTCCTCTTTTGATCGCGGAACCTTTAATCAGCGGTAGGACCAGTTGAGAGGTATGCCGATCTTTTCGGCATGCAGTCCCGAGGGTAATGGTCCTTGTGGATAGCTTTGAGAGCCATTAGTTTGTAAGTATTTTCCGTTCTTATTCCTAACAGAACTTTGGTTTTAAGTGAGTTGTAGGTATTCCAACTCTGTCTGATATTGCTATACGATTCTGTATAGCTCCACCTCTGATTAGCTTTTTTATTTTTTTATTTCATTGGGTGAGGCCCCCTTGTCCCCCGCGTGTAACACATTTTGTGCAGAGTCGTATTTTGCTATTTCATCCAATGTCTTATTTCCGTAAACGCCCCTGTAGAGTTTATTAAAAATTGTGGCTAAATTTCTTCTAACTACGGTCCTCCAAAAATTGCAACTATACCGATGAATAAGAGAGCACTCGAATTGCCACTTGGTTACAGGAGAAAACAATCACCTGCGTTCTTAAGAGTGCATGAGGTTTTATGTACCTTACAGCCTTCTCAATTGCATTTGTTTCCTCCAGTCATGCCTTGCCAGCACTAGATCCCTCCCTGAATTCAGTCTTCGCGGCATAGTAGCGGTAAAAGTTTTCATCACTGCAGGATGCCTTTCACTGAATATATGTGGACTTACTATGAGTGCTTAGTGCAGCATGGATTCTCTGCTCCTTAACAGAGATACATTCAACGACCAGATGCAGTAACCCATCCCTACATCAGTAACATCAGTACATTACTAAATACCCCTAAGTCTTATCAAGAGGAAGCCATAGTAAACTGTTTGTATTTAGTAAGCAAGTTTTTAAGAAACAATATGAGCAGTTTAAGTGATAAAATTACTATTTGGAAACACCTAATCTCAATCCGGAGAGGCTAGTTAATTAAAAACTCATTAATTGAATATCTTATCAACTCACTCATTTTGGCAAGTAGATTTTCTAAACTCGTTAGAACTGTCATATTTAGGAATGAAAACTTGACTTCTTTTTTCCCCTTTAGAAACGTATTTACCGAAAGTAAGTATGTCAAATAACTAACCTTCTCCTGTACAATTTGGCGACATTCACAGACTCATTGGAGATCAGCGACCGTTAATTAGAGGTTTGAAAGCCACTGAACTGTCACACTGTCACTCTGTCACTGGGCTATCATACTACACAAGCTAGGAGAAGCCAACTCGAAAATAGTCATTAACATCACGTGTACAATGCTTGAACAATCAGATGGTCAACAATATTGTCCCATGTGCAAGTGAATACTCCAAATAAACAAAAATTCATGTATTTCCACTCACAGATATATTTTTGTTTCAAAGGTAGGCAGAGTGTGTCCAGTGATTTTTATGTATCTTCACGACGGAACTTATTCCCTTCGAAGGTCGCAATGGGGTTGTATAGAATTGCCGTTCTTCGTTGGGAATTGCATTGACCTCAGGATCACATGAAGCGACAGGTTTTGGTCTTCAATTCAATAAAAGTTGATTCCCATCCGTCATACAGTGGTCTGAAATCTAAACCTTGATGAACAAAACTATTTGCTCAAATACGCTTAGACACAGTTTGTCAACACTTTGTTTATTAAACTGAGGACTGCCCTTCTTTTAATGGGTGGAGTTTTAGGTACCGCGTCACCTAATTTAATTTTTGAGTTGCGTCATAATTTCAGTCGTCAAAATTAATTATGCCCTCGCGGCCCAACTTAATGTTTTGATGGCGTTCTTAATACACGCGGCCAAAATTCACGGTGCTACAATTTTCTATTCAAATGGCCCGTCATTCTTAGTTATCCAGGCTACTACTTTGTACCCGTAGGTGGCGGAGGAGTCGAGATATTTGGGAACCCCGCATTTGTGGCTCGATTTAGTTCATATTTAGATACATAGCTTGTTTTAAATATTTTTTTACTACCTATTAACTTGTTTAGAAAACAGTTTTTCTCTTAGTGTATCAGCTCACTGGACTCTTGCGAAATCTCATCGATAGTCCTTAGCAAGTTACCTAATCAGTTCACTATCCGCTTATCTGCACAGCGGTTAAAGTGGACGAAAATTTGGTGTTGTGCCAATCT